TAAGGACAAGAATTTAAACTCTACTTAATAATTTGAAAAATATTGCCTTTCTCCTGATCACAAGGTATCCAGAAACAACTGCCAGCTTTCCCAAATTTATTTGTGGCTTGAAGCTATTTCCTTTGGATTTCTCAAATGCCATTTGTGATGACTATTCATGAGAAGCTCGTTGCAAGTAGCCATTCTTCTAGCTGACAGCATTTTGCAGGTGAAACTTTAGAAGGGATTTGAGCAGCTGGGGAATCATATTTTAGTAATTTGAAATAATTTACTGGTACCAAATGTGTCTAACTGCTTCAGGTGAAATACAATAAAACCAGAAAAATTTTCAATTAGTTATTTTATTTTGTCAAATTAAAAAGTTGAAGCTTAACATTTGAAATTTCTTTTGAAATATTCATTCCTCTACCCTCCAAAATAATACTTCACATGGCAGTGAAAAGTTCCATTTGATTTAACTATTTCTTTAATCTTGGGGGAGAAGGGGAAAGGAGACCTCAGAAATTCACCTCAGTTCTTCCTTGCTATAAGCTTTTACCAACAATCAACAAAAATAAATTATTTGCATAAACAGCTAAATACTGGGGTAAGAGGTTTTTTCCCTCTAAAAAGATAGTCTGAAATTTGATTTTGAAACTCTGAGGAAGAAAGAGACGGGAAGGCGTGCAAAATTATTTCAGAAAATGTTTGAAACTGGGGCTTGTTTTATTCTCCAACTCAAAAACAGATGAGTGTTAGTTCACGTTTCTCTCACATGGCTTTGAGTTACATCCCAGCTACTCCTGTGGTTACATCACATTTACTCATAGCATCTAAAAATTACTGCAGGAATATATGGAAGCCTGGTTTCTTCCATTCTAGTCAGACTGTAAACGGTGGAAAATGCTAGTCATGCCTTCTGCCGTGCCTCAATACAACTCAACAGGACCAGAGTCGCATGGCTAAACTTCCAGGCTGAAGAGCAAGGAGGGTGTATGTCTCTGCCCTGTCAGGGACAGGACTCCTGAACGCTCACCAACACAGTTCCTTTTTCTGTGTAATAGTTGGACCACAATGGAGAGGAAATACATTACAAGTTATCCATGGCCTTTAGTGGCCAACCTGCCACTATTCAGAGATTTATCCAACCATGCCGCTGATCTCGACTGTGTAGGGTCACCTACATCTCTGAACTCTCAAGCGCCCCCAGATACGTATTAAAATTACTGGCTAATATTGAAACTTCAAGTCTACATGAAAAGCTTTAGAAAAGTGGTAGGTACGCAGTAGGAATAACCTCTCGTTGTTAATGTTAAACTACACCTACAGTTATATGCAGGATCTACACTTTTTGTCTCCTAAGAGTGGGAAATAATGCTGTAGATCACAGCAAGTAATATAACAAAGCTGCTGTCAAGAAATGTCTGATTTTAATTGAAATGACACTCCATTATTCAACAGCTCCAGACAATGCCACCATAGTACATGTTGGGAGATGAGATGTAGGTGGGATGCCTGCCCTCACTGCACACTAGGCCATCTTCTGTGATGAGCCACGTCCTGCCCCACGTCTTCTCCTGACCGTCAGGTATTGACAATGAGCCACTAGCAGTTTCTCTCCAGGATGGGAAAGATGGTGTAGTCTGTGTCATATTTCATTTCTGTTTCAAAAAAAATTAATTCTAGAAATCAGGGGCAAAATGACACTGAGAGAGGGGGAGAGTAAGAGGAGCCACTTCCAGCAGCTAGAATTGTTGGTTCATGCAAAACTCTGCAACTTCAAATTTTGTTCTCATAAACTGAAATGAAACACTGAATGACTATTTCTACATAAAGGCTTTTTTCTTTTGCAAATTTCTCCCTTGGCCAATCAAAAACTTAAAAAAAAATAAGAGGAGGAAGAGTATCATCAAAGTCTGAGGGGAAAAAAAAGCTAGCAATGAAGCTGATAAAAAAAACCAGTTGAAATATTACATTCAAAAAATGGTAAAATGAAATATCATAACACCACCACAACCTTTTAACCTTCTCACTTCAAAGAAAAATTGAAAAACCAATGAACTGACACTAAATTTATATTTTGATGAAATAGCATTTTTATTGGAAAAGCACTCCATCAGAAAACGTTGAACCAGCTGTAAGAACTTTATCTACAGATTATTCAGAAGAAAAAATATTCCATTTTGTATTGTTCACATTCAAAATTAAGTGACATTTTACATATTAAGTTCTGACAGACTTACATTATTTCTGTATAAGTCTCCATTGATGCATAGTCAGCTTATTCTATGCCATAAAATATAGCAAGTTTCCTATTTAGTTTTGAGTTACTTTATTCTGTAAGTTAATAACTGGTTCAGGACTGAGAAATCTTCTGCAAGCACAAAATGACTTAAGTCCAGCAGATTGATGTGGATGGAGCCTTTTTTATTTATTCTGGAGGAAATATTTTTTCTAGTATATCAACATAGCTGCGGCCCTTTACATTCCTGTTACATCCCCTGAGCATTTCAGAGTATTACCCATATTTTATGTGTGGTTTTAAGCTTCTGGATACTTTTGAAAGGAACCTTCATCTTCACAAAAATCGCTTGCTGGTTGCATTCTTCAAAGTAGAAGCCTGAAAAATTTAGGCGAGTATTTTTCTTGAAACAAAGAGAGAGGCAGAAAAATACTTCATTTAATAATTTACTGCAAAAAAATCTTCCTAAGCTTTTAAGCCTAGCAGGATTTCATCTGATAAAGGTTTTCAAAATTTCTCCGGGCAAAATACATAGGAATAGCACATCAAGTTAGAGGCAGTGGTACTTGCAAGAAAAAGGGAGTAGTAGTAAGTAGCATGTGTCAGCAATGACTTGCCCGTCAATTCATTAAAGGAATAGCATTTCTGGCACCAGTCCTAGAGCTGCTTTCTAGCATTATTCTAGGGTTGGCCATCACAAAAATTCACTTTCCACCACCACCCCTACAACAGCACCTAGCCATCCTCTTCGCAGCCTGCTTGGCAAGCCTAAGGGACACTGAAGTCCCAGCTCCTTAGCTCATGTTGCCCCTCAGCAGTTTGTCCCTCCAGGGCTGCCCAGATCCTCGCTCTCAATCTGGCCATCTGATAAACTTTGAGGATCGGGTTTGGGAGCCTGGGAACCACTGAGGTTCCCGAGACCATGATTCCTCTCTAACCAGCATTTACCTCTCTGAAGGAGCCCATCCAGTACTCCGCTCTTTTCTGTGAGAGGAGGTAGGACACCACTGCGGCCAGGCACAGTGCTAGGTTTTAATCCAAAGAAAACCAAATCTGAAATCCCAAATCCATCACAAATAGTGACCTTCCTGCAGCAGCCCAGGTGGGGCTTTTCTGAAATGTTGGAAGGACGGACACATTTTGAGCAGTTGCTGCCAGTTTCTGTGTAGTACAAAGTTCACAGCTCTGCCAAGGATTTCAGTTTTCTTCAATAAACGGTGCAATATTGTAGCAACAAATCATACTAATCATCATAAAAAAGATTTACAGCTGCTACTCTGTGACACACCATAAACTTTCTACCAGTCTCAAAGGCAGGGAGAGAAGTTCACTCCAGCCAGGCAGCCCCTTTCCAGCTGTACTGCAGGAAAAAACACTCGCCATGCACATTTCAGCATCTACTTGTTTGTTGAGCTTGCAGGGACACAGCAGCTGGGGAGCAGCCTGAGGGAGGCAGAGGTCCATTAACCGGTTCATTGCAGCAGGCACAGCCAAGTGACAAGCCGGCAGACTGGCAGCCTAAACAAGACACAGCTGTAACATTGCTCCTCCGGATGATGTCTTAATACAGAAAGCGGCCGTTCCCATCTCCTCTTCCCTCCACCGCAGTTAGTTTCCCCTCACTCTTTCTCCACTAAAAGAAAGTCATTTGAAGTCAAAACTCTGTTGCCGAGATCTGGAAACTACTTTTAAAAATAAAAAAATAAAAAATAACCTTTTTGATGTTTTATTTGCAGGATGAGTTTAACAAGTAAGAACATGTTTAACCAAAACAGCAACAAATGAGAAGCCCGGTGCGAATGACTTAACACTGACTGGGAGGCTTAATAAATACCTATGCCTTTAATTCGAGAAATTAAAGTAACATGTAAATCAATTAATATGTCCAGATGTTTGGCTTTCTTTAAATGTGTAGCCACATAAAACACCTCTCCTTCCACATGCAAAATTCAATATAATAAACTCATTATTTAACATCAGTTCATATATTAAAAATACAAGAAGCCTATATCAGTATTACAAATTCCCAGCACTCGAAAACCCTGCACTTAACCTAAAACACATTTGCTGAACAACAACAAACCAATTCTAATATTCACAACACAGCAAGAATCGGCAAAGTCAAGCTGTTGGCTTCTGTTATTGGGCTCACGTTGCTTGCCATCAATAAAGTTCATTAACTTGGAAGCAACATGGACACCTTCACACAAAGCACTGTCACATCTTAGCTAAACAGATCTGAACTGAAGCAATCCTAGATGAGGGATTGTGCTCCCAGTGAGCGTGACCGCTGACTGAAATGCAGAAATCACCTTCTTAAAATAGCCAGAACTTAGTGTTTTAAAAATCCAGATGGGTGGCCCAATCTCGTCCCTTATATACATCCGCACACCTGAAAAGTGGCCAGGGAAATATTAACATGCATACAAACGTTTTCAGAACATGGACGGGAAAAAGCAGAGGAGACTGTTTTGTATTGAGAAATGAAGATACAATTTCTTGATGAGCATTTAGCCTATTTATACTCATTTGTACCATGTTACCATTTAGTATATTAATACTTAAAGTGAAAAGTAAAAAAAGGTTACTAACCTGTGGGAAGAGAGAGTAAGTTGCATTGTCAATAGTGAAAGAATATAAAAATTCCCCATCAAACCAGAGGTTCTTTCCCATCGGGGAGTTCAGCTTTGTCATAGCAAAGAGCTGCCCGGGGTCGCAGCATTCTTCCAACAGCTTCCTAGTGAAGGCAAGCACAAGAGAAAAAGCCATATTAATTAGAGCCTTGGCATGCCTTCTCTAACGACCACCCCTCACACCTGAGATCCTGCCACTCTCAGATGCTCCAAAGCAAGCCATTCATCTTCCCAGCCAGTGGATGAACACAGGTGACTTTTTTACTTACAGAAGGGCCAGAAAACCTGATTTTATTTCAGAAAATCTTAGAAATAAACAGTAAAAAATTTAAACCTCCACTCACTTTTGAGTGGCATAGAAATAGAACAAGATTCAGCAAAAGAAACTCCATCCTTTACAACCCATTCTAATGAATTAAAAAACTGGTCTCCAACACATACGGAAATCAAAGAAGCTCCATTGAAAATTAAATCCGAGGTATATGAAAATTCAGTACCAAACCTTATTCCTGAAAAGCAGGCCTCCTAAAACCCCACAGTTACATAACTTAAGTATGGAAAAATTTGGCATCTCTCTCCAGTTACTAAATATCCTTGTGCTACATTCACAGCAGTATTAGAGCCTGCCTTCTAACTGAAGTCCAACTTGAGTCATAGAATCATAGAATCCTTAAGGTTGGAAGAGACCTCCAAGATCATTGAGTCCAACCGTCAACCCAACACCACCATGCCCACTAAACCATGTCCCTAAGTGCCTCATCTACACGTCTTTTAAATACATCCAGGGATGGGGACTCAACCACTTCCCTGGGCAGCCTGTTCCAATGTTTAACCACTCTTTCAGTAAAGACATTTTTCCTCACATCCAATCTAAACCTCCCCTGGCGCAACTTGAGGCCATTTCCTCTCGTCCTTTCGCCTGTTACTTGGGAGAAGAGACCGACACCCACCTCACCACAACCTCCTTTCAGGTAGTTGGAGAGTGCAATGAGGTCTCCCCTCAGCCTCCTTTTCTCCAGGCTAAACAACCCCAGCTCCCTCAGCCGCTCCTCATAAGGCTTGTTCTCCAGACCCCTCACCAGCCTCGTTGCCCTTCTCTGGACACACTCCAACATCTCAACGTCCTTCTTGTAGTGAGGGGCCCAAAACTGAACACAGTATTCAAGATGCGGCCTCACCAGTGCCGAGTACAGGGGCACGATCACTTCCCTACTCGAAGTCATCCCAGTATGATTGAGATACATATATATATAGTGGATATTATACTTCTTGTTTCCTTGCCGAAACTACATATCCTTTTCACATTCATTTCCCCAAAATACTTATTACTCAGCTTGAGTAGAAATTTGAGAGCTGGTGAGGTGGTTGAAGGTTGTATTGAGCAGTAATTCTGTATCACAGCAAACTCAGCAATTAATATCCTGAAGTACAGAATGATGAAAAGCTCTAGACATCTGCAAGGCAGAAATATCCTATCTTTGCGAAGCCTGCATGGGAGTAGCTCTCTATAGGAAGGGTGACGCTCATATTAGTTTTTATATGTAATAACGTAAAATATACATTGCAGAATTATGCCATTACAGTATCTTATTATATTATTATATACATTTCTCATTTATTTTAAAGGGAATCCTAAAGAGACTGACGTCATTTCCAGTGGCTGCATAAGAGCTGCAAGTGGCAGGCAGAAAAACATCAGTTATTAGTGACTACTAAAATGCTTGATATAGCTGTTCTCCTCTGCGAAAGAGGAGATTTAAAACCATTAAGTCATTCACAGAAATGTTTAATTTTTTTTGCATTTTTTAAAGTTTTACAGCTACTTTTCTTCTCTAAAAATTTCGATTTAAAAAAAAAATATATATCAGTATTTCCCCCTATCAAAAATTGATTTTGCCATAAGTTAATAGTTTTCTGCAACCATGTGAATACTATTTTCCATACATACTTCAACTGAAAATTTGATGAAAACCGTAGAGTGGATTTGTTGTAATCTTAGCAGAAGAGGATACAGCTTGAAAATACTGCATGGCAAACAGAAAACCTAGGGGTGTCAGTGCTCTTCGTTAGCTTTCCCCGCTGGGGAAGTTCAGTGATTTGCTCTGGTTCAGCTCCACCCCCACCGATACCCCAGGCCCCTGGGACAGTTGCTCGCGTGGAGGAAGGCTCGCAGGGGACAGCAAGGATGCAAGTGCAGGGAAGCTGGGTTGAGGGCAGGAGGTCCACTCCTCTCCTAAAACAGGTACCTGAGAGTAGCCTTTGCACACGACATGCAGGCAGATTAAACTGTTAAAAGGAAGCAAATTACATTAGGTAACTGGATATCGCATCTTGTTTTAAGTCAAGAGTCAGCTTCTATGAAGAGCCGCAAGGTAAGCTCTCCCCCTGTAACAGGCTGAGCAGCCCCTCTGTTCCCACAAGCAGCCAGAGAGATGAGTGATTTTTACGAAGACTCAATCAGAAGCTCATGACAGGGTGCTTCATGGCTCCAAATTTCAATATTTTGTCCATTTGACCTCAAAGCGCTTGCACTGCACAGCATGAGGCTCCACCACATATGCAGACCTTACATTGTGAGGGTACAGGGCTGACGACCACAGAGCATGCCGCTGCTCAGACTGAAGTGCTATGAGCACTAACTTGTTTCTGTGTGTTTTCTCCATACACACCTGAACTCCTCCATCTGTATAAATAAGTATTTCAGAAAAGATGTAAATCACCGTGCTCGGGTGCGTAAGTCAACCCCAAATTAATGAAGTCTAGGACAAAACTGTGTCCAGTTCTAGACCCCACAATTCAAGACAGACACAGACTGGAGAGGGTCCAAAGGAGAGCCACGACGATGATCAAAGGGCTGGAAAATCTGCCCTATGAGGAGGGACTTAAGAAGTAGGTCGTTTCTCCCTGGAGAAGACGAGACTCAGGGGGGACCTCATCACAGTTTTCCGGTACTTGAAGGGCAGTTACAAAGAGAATGAAGGCTCTCTCTTCACAAGGAGCCACATGGAGAAGACAAGGGGCAACTTGTACCAAGTTGCACTGAGAGAGGTTTCATCCTGATATAAGAATTTTTACAGTGAGAACAATCATTCCCTGGAACAACTTCCCCAGGGATGTGGTGGAGTCCCCATCGCTGGAGGTTTGCAAGACGCAATTGGACAAGGTGCTAGGTAATCTCCTCTAGGCTCCATTTCCCACGGAAGGTTGGACCAGGTGATCGTTCGAGATCCCTTCCCACCTTGGCAGTTCTGTGATTCTGGAACTGGTTTCCCTTAGACTGCCCGTTGCAGAGCTGGTTTGTCTCCCTCTGAGCAGAACAGAGCAATGTGTTAGCCAGAGCAGCAATTTCCATTCCTAGAAACACCAGTGGGTCTACCTATACCCACCACAGAAAGGCTTCACATCATCCTCCTGCTGACGCCCAAATAAAGCCTTCATCACAGAACTGTGAAAATCAAACTAGAGGAAATTTGAAATCTCTCGACAAATAACCGTTGCAAAACAGTTTAAGACAGGCATGGAATATCATTCCAAATAAAAGACTTGAGAGTGGAGATTTTTCTGGCTGTCCACAAACTCCAGTTTGCAGCCTTTGGAAAATTATTTCTCTCCCTGTCAAATGCAAAGCAAATAATTCTTGCCTGTCTTTCCCCTCCTTTTCTTTATATTTTCTATCCCCACAGCAACTTTTTCAAGAAAGCATAAGGTAATCCAAGATCAGCTGGACTCCCAACTCTACATACAGTTGTTTGTTATACAACTGTATAACAAAATTAAAATTTCTCAGTGAAATCCTGCAACTCAGACCTTCTCTGGAAGTCTGGTCTGAGTAAGAAGCACAAAAATAACAGATAACTCAGTGGAAAAGTATCTAGGGAATGTTTTATATTAATGAATCTTTCCTTAGCCAGGGTAAACTGATGAGCTACAACAGCTCTTTGTACGATTCCCCCCCCTCCCCCCCATCTATTAGATTAGATATATATACCTACTCTTTACCCTCCCCAAAAATGCATTCTTCAGGTTCCCATTGAATCCTTCCTTAATAAACCTATCATGAAAAGCAGGAGGTGCCTCCTGGAAGGTCCACAGATAGGCAGGTCACTAGTTCAAGTATGCATCTGTATGTATTAGCACAAAAATCTTTGCACTTACATGTGCTTTCTGTCAGAAAAGAATAATTATTAAAAGTCTCACATTATTCAGTCTCTCTTTCTGATTCAAATCCCAAAATGACAAAGTGAGAAAAGCTCCATTGGAAAACATGCATTAAAAAGCAGAACGGATTCAAAGGCAAACCTAAAGCAGGGTACTTTGCAGGATCAGGGAGTCTGAACTGGTTTGCTGAGCTTCATTAAAATCTACAGCTAAAATGTTATGATAGAATTTGCAAAACTGCAGCAGCTTTTAGCCAAGGATTTCAACTCACTGCAAGCATTCCTTCACTCGCAGGACATAAATAATATACCTTTAACTCAAAGTTATCTCCAATTTAGAGGAGACCTGTGTATGAGAGGAATTAAACAACTTGAATATTGGTATTGAGAAGGCACTGGGGGCCCTCAGATCTGAGAGCACTTAAGGGACAAATCCCTACTTGTGAGAGAAGCAAGAGAAAAGTTGCTTTGAGAATCTCACTTCAGGCCTCTAAGATTTCAGCTGGAATTGGGCACCAAGCAGGTCATTAACTACAAGGCAGCATTAGCACTGAAGCGGCTCTGCACATCAACTCAAGCAGCAACCTGTTCACAAGGCGGGAGCTGAGCAGCAGTTTTGAGACATTAGCCGTATCCCCACAGTACCCTTTGCTGAGGTTATACCAGCAGACATTGCACGTTGAAAGAAGCAGAGTGAAATAGCTGGTGCCAAGGATCCTACATCCACATTACCTTATTTTCATGGGATTTACTGCAGACTAACTGGTCTGATTCCACAAAGAGTCTGTGAGCGGCTGTAGCACACTGAGTGCATTACTGAAGTGCAGTAACTGGGGACAATCGGGAGATTTGCTTCAAAGGCCCACTTCTGACCAAAGGGCTAATACAGGTGCGCCCTCCTCCACCTAAAAGCAGAGAGGAAGCCAGACTTCCTTGCAAAGCCTAAACCTAAATTCAT